CAAACACTTGACTTTCTGATCTTGACCAAACACATGACGTCTTGATCTTGACCTCCCAGACACCGCCACTCCAGTCCCTGCCACGCCCCTCTGGGTTTGTTGTCTGTCTGTATTTTGTTTTGTATTTGGGGCGGGTTTTTCCTTTTTGTTTTTAACGTGTTTCAGCGCCTTTATCACCAGCGACTGTGGTGGTGTAGTGGTTAGGTGTTTCGCTGTCAAACGCAGAAGACTTGAGTTCGATTCGCGAGTGAGTTCAGTGAGTTCAGGGAGGTCTTTCTGCTGGGATGTTGTATCCCTCTCAGCCTGGGTTGATCCTGACAGGCAGGGTCAGAAGTGCGACTCCGAATTTATTTTTTAAATTCTGTCCATATCTTGACTACATCTCGTCTTTCGCTCCACTGATTCTGTCTGTCTATCTTGCCTTTACCCCCGCACTAAACGATAGTTCTAGTTCTAGTGTCGATGTACTTTTGCCGAGGAAAGTAAGACTCTAGACCTATCTACTATCTGTTTTTTCTGGTTTGTTTTTGTAACTAGTTTTGAGGTCATTGAATCAGAAAATTGATCGAGTCCACGAAGGTCCTCAAGTGATGGCTAGTTGTCGAGGGAAAGAAATTGCCGCTCAGAAAAATTAAAACTAAAAAGTGTATATCTGTCCCCGTGGTTTTATTATGCACCCCGCATAATTTGGCAAAATTTGATAATTTTTTGCATAATTTATTATTATTTTCCTTTATCATTCTTTGTTAAAATCAACAGAATCGCATAATTTCACATTGTTGGGCTCAGTTTGTATAATTTCAAATTTTTTCTTGCAAAAAACGACGGGAAGAGGTATGTGTGTGTATGATAATATATCGATCTATATATATATAATAATATAATATATAATATACTGTTTACGCTATATCTATAATATATACCTTCCTTAATTCCACTGAGACTGGGTGCTCGGGTTCCTGGCACAGGACAAGCAAACAAACAAATAAACACACAAACAAACAAAGAATGGAAGGAAAAGAGTACATGTACATGTATTTCAGAGTAGAGAGGAAAGAAGAAAGACGGGGCTGTATTTGAAGCACATGTAGTAAGAGATACACACAAATCACCAAGTGAGAAACTCATTTTTCAAATGGCAATATTTCAAATAAAGTGTACAGAAAAGTGGTAAGACGTGGAATAACATCAAGAGGCTAGCCCAGGATAGAGAAAAGTGGTAAGACATGGAATAACATCAAGAGGCTAGCCCAGGATAGAGAAAAGTGGGAAGACGTGGAATAACATCAAGAGGCTACCCCAGGATAGAGAAAAGTGGGAAGACGTGGAATAACATCAACAGGCTAGCCCAGGATAGAGAAAAGTGGGAAGACGTGGAATAACATCAAGAGGCTACCCCAGGATAGAGAAAAGTGGGAAGACGTGGAATAACATCAACAGGCTAGCCCAGGATAGAGAAAAGTGGGAAGACGTGGAATAACATCAAGAGGCTAGCCCAGGATAGAGAAAAGTGGGGGGTGTTTGTCCGTGGCCTATACCCTGATGCAGGGTGAGAAAGGCAATGATGATGATGATGATGATGAATATTTCAAATAAGACCCTTTTATTAACTTTTAAACAAATTAGAAGGTCTAGATTTTTTTCTAGATCTAAATCTATTCCTAAATGTCAACTTTGAGCTTGGAAATTGGAAATGGAATGAACCTTGGCCACGTGAGAAGCACAACTTAGTTCCCACTGTTTTGATAGAATAGAATATATTACTTTGTCCGTGGTCAATCCGTCTTCATTACTTTGTCCGTGGTCAGTCCATCTTGTTAGTCTAGCAGTAGGATGACACTTGGAATCCTCACGGAATTAAAAACGAGGGGATTTTTTTTTCTTGTTTTTTGTTTGTTTGTTTGTTTGTTTTTGCTTTTTCTCCTCCCTTTTCTTTTTGCTGAGATTGTTTTTGTTTTTGTGCTGGGTCGATGAGAATCCCCGCGAATGTGTGAGCCATCATCGAAAACACCCGCAGTCAAGGAGTTTTTTTTAAAGGTTGTTTTTGTTTTTCTTTCTTTTTGTTTGTTTGTTTGTTTTTGCTTTTGTTTTGTTTTGGGGGTTTTTTCTCCCTTTTTGTGCTGGGATTGTTTTTATTTTGGCGCTGAATCGATAAAAATCTCATCCACCATGAATTTGTGAACCATCATCAAAAACATCCGTAGTCAAGGAGTTTAGTTAGTGCATGCGCGTCACGTGGCAGTGTCGGTGTTTTTTCCTGAAGTGGGTAAAAAATCAGTTTGCACTCTCTCTCTCCATCTCTTCCTCGCTCTCTCTCTCTCTCACACACACACACACACACACAATCTCTGTGTGTGTGCGTGTGTGATAAGAGAGAGAGAGAGAGAGAGAGAGAGAGAGAGAGAGAGAGAGAGAGAGGGAGAGGGAGAGGGAGGGAGGGGGGAGAGAGAGGGGGAGGAGATAGAGAGAACATCTGTAATTTCGTCTATCCTTCAAACTGCCTAACACGAACATTCATTTCCCTTTCACTCTTGTCCCAACAACCTCCTGCCTCCTTCTTTCTGGCCATTTTGAAATCAGACTTAAAATTTTCTAACACTTTTGCCCTGACATACATGTATTATTTTCCATTACTCCCTCCGCCCCTCTCCTCCCCCCCCCTCTCTCTCTCTCTCCTCCTCCTCCAACGTGCCAGCAGCCAGAGAGACAAAAGTGCCGATCAAAACGCCAGCAGACTGACTCATTGCTCATTGAGAAGGAAACGTTTTCAATGGCAGTCCCAGGCCGAAGCTTTTTCTGTAAAAAACCAGGAATTAATTGACACTTTCCTTTGTGGTTTGACACACGGACACAAACATTCGCCGTTCTACAGTTGTTGGGGGTTTTTTCTTTGAAAGGGGGGGGGGGGGTTGTCAGTATGTTTGTGTGTCTTTGTGTGTGTGTGTGTGTGTGTGTGTGTGTCTACGTGTGTTCGTATGTGTGTGTGAGTGTGTTTGTTTGTATATGTGTGTCTGCGTGAAGTTAAAATAGGACGTTCGGGATGGGAGAATGTGAGTGAAGAGACAGACAGACACGGACAGACAGACAGACAAACAGACAGAGAGAGGGGAGAGAAACTAGAGAGAGAGATTTCTGGGGTTTCCTTTTGTTTTGATAGCAGTTTTACGGCGCTTGCAACTACATAAGGTCATATGAGCGCACGGGACACACTAAACATTTTCAGTTGGTAGGAAAATTTGAATTTTGCCCGGGTGGCGGCCGAAGCCTACTTTTATCGATTTAAGACCACCAAGGAATCTTTAACGTGCACAACTTGCACTCAGTACCTCCGAGATTTTTCGCCCTTGTCTGAGAAGGTTAGGTGTAGATCTTTCCAACCAGAATATCAGGGGTGTAGCTGAAAGACAGCAGTAAGAAGGAGCCAAGGAGTAGCAGTAGAAAGGTTGCAGAAAGAGTCAGGAGCCCAGAGGAGGGGGCAAAGGAGGTGAGGGGGTGGGGACAGAAAGTGGAGACGAAAGCAGACGACAGAAAATTGCTGGAGAGAAGGAAAGGAGGAGAAAGGAGACAAATTTAGAGAAGGAAATATTTCCGCCACGACCCGGATCCGAACCAGGGGCCTTTGAATGAGAGGCGAACACCTTGACCCCCAGCGAGAGAGAGAAAGAGAGAGAGAGAGAGAGAGAGAGAGAGAGAGAGAGAGAGAGAGAGAGAGGAGGGGAGGGAGAGAGACTGTCCTTTAATTGGCTGGAGTGGTGCGCTCTACAGAACAAGAGTGAATTGAAAATAAATTTTTAAAATACATGTAAGCTGTTGCTCTCACAACCGAAGTCGTGGGTTCGAACCCCATCACGGTCTGGACGCTATGTCCTTGGGAAAGGCACTTTTCACTTTATGCAACTTTTCCTCACTTCACTCAGGGGGGAATGGGTGCCCAGATACATGTATAAACAGCCAAAGATCTTGTCAGGGTTTGAGTGCTGTATCATCAGTAGTTTGTACTGTATGCTTCCCGGGAAGTCAAGAATGTTTCCGAGATTTCTACTCTTGGGTTCGCTGGGGTAGTACAGTGCAAAGATCATGCTGCAGAATGTGGCTATGTGCTACATGAAGGGTGTGTGCTACATGAAGACTATGTGCTACACGAAGGCTATGTGCTACACGAAGACTATGTGCTACACGAAGGCTGTGTGCTACATGAAGGCTGTGTGCTACATGAAGGCTGTGTGCTACATGAAAGATATTTTTTGTCATTGATAAATGCGTCAGAGTGCACTCTAGAAATTCAAGTTAATAAATTTTCCCCCAGGCATGAAGACGAGGAAGGGACGTTATCCCGGCAAATATTCCTTAACTTTAATATTCAAACGTGATTACCTCCCTGTACACACAGACTTTCTGCGCGTGTTCCGACCTCCAGCTGGAGGTGCCCGTGTCACACATGACAACGATTGGCTAGTCTGTAAATATACCCCACCTGTGTCTGTGGACTGCTACACACAGATGTACTTTATGCCCACATGGACACAATTAGGATCATTCAGGAGGCAGACTTCAACCCTGTCTATCAGGGCCAACCCGGGCTGAGACGGATCCAACATCCCAGCAGAAAGACAGAAATACTCTAAAATTTCTCCCTATCCCTACTATATATGGGAATCAAACTGGGGTCGCCTGGGTGTGAAAGCAAAGCATCTAACCACTACACCACAGACATCAGTCTGAGTTCTTTCCCTTCTGCTTCAGTAACTTTTCTAAAAGTGAGTTACACTGGAGTCCGTTTAAACCAAACTCAAACACGCTTAACTTGTCAACTGTAGTACACCGAACAAAAATTAAATCCCTGATTTTTGTTCTTCTATTCGAGCATTTTCTGTAGACCAAAGAAAAGCCCAGTCTGGCAGATTTCTGTTGAAGCGGACGCCACTGTATACCTCTCTGGTGTTTCAAAACATAACAAATGTATCAATCAGAAGAACTTACAAAACCAGTAGTCACAACACTGTTATTTTCATACTTTTATTTCCATTTTCCACATATCGTCATGAACATAGAATCCTTCAATGTCAAACATTACATTCCATGTACACAAAACAGGCATTTCTGTAGACTCAAATGTGATATAAATACCAAACTGACATCCATGCTGTATGACTTTCGCCCATGCACGCACGTATGCATGCTCACACACACACACACACATTATCACCTCAGAACTATTGTGTCTTCTTTACTTCAGTACATTTTGGACAAAATAGTTTCTCAGGCCACAACATGCATACACATCCACATACACACACTGTCTCACAGGAAATGAGAAACAAATCCTGAAGATTAAACATATAATATATACCAGCATAATTATTTCAACATGGATCAATGTTATCATATCTTATTTACAAATGTTACCGTTTGGCTCGGTCCATTCAGAGATGGACGTTAAATTTTGAGGTCCTGCCTCTTGAATAATCTTATGGCGTTGCAAGGCATGTTAAATCCTAAGAGTTTCAAATTGGAAAGACACAGCATGCTTCCCTTCCAAGCCCAGCAACATGGGAGGTACATCAGAAGATACCCCAAGATCAACTAGAAATAAAAATCTTCAACAGAAACACAAAAGTAACAATATTCTTGCTGACCATTACAATTACTCAAAGTAAAGACTTTCGAGATCTACTCAAAAATAAAGACTTTAGAGAACTACTCAAAGCAAAGATTTCAGTGAACATTCGAACTTATCTTCAAAAATTAAAAACCAAAGAACAGGGGGAGCAAAGCTAAAAAAAACTATCATGCGTAAAACGAATCAAAGAATGATACCAGCACCCTTCCCAGCTGACGGTGTCGTAGTAGTCAGTGATATCTTCTTCTGGCCACACGGCCCATCGGTCACTCAGGCTAGCTGACCACGTGAACAGGGAAGTCCGAGAGTGATGGCAACACAGCCACAGCCAAATATAGTTTTAGTAGTAAGAGCTTTAAGGCACTTGCAACACAAATTCAAATAGGTCATATGAGTGTCGGAGATTAAAAGTGTTGCTGGAGAATGACATACAAAGAAAATGAAAATGAGGAGAGATAAGATGATAGATGTTTGACCGGAAAGAAGGAGCATTCAACACCACATCACCCACCAACTACCCACAGTCAAAAACTTCACCCACAAAGTCTTCAACAATTAACACAACACTGTAATCACAAAGCTGTGAAGAGCATACATTGCAGACACCACATCTAAACCTGTCTCAGGGCTGCCAACCATTCCCATTTTTTCGTAATCATTACAATTTTTTAGCCTCTCAACGAAATTCCGATTGCGACTTTTTACCGTCAGCATATTTTTGGCTATAAAAAAATATATTTTTGGCCCTTTTTTTATTTTACAAGCCTTAGTGCAGACCTGTAAATCGTCCGCCAATAGTCAGAAAACCGCCAATAGTCAGAAAACCGCCAATCTCTAAATCAACCCTCGCCCCCAAAAAGGAACAGCTGGCCCACTTGGCCCTCAAAAGAATTCAATTGTTGAGGTGAAGAATGCGAAAGACGCGTAGTACCATTTAAGCCTAACGATGCCTTTTTTGGGGGGGGCAGCCATTATTGTTTATCATTCTGATCACCTCGGCAGGGTTGTGGATAAGTTCAGTCTAACTGTCTACTTCAAAGCTTGGATGTTTGTTGAGCACTTGGTGATGCTCCATCAGTTGATGCACTTGGAAGTTTTTCTGGATCTCTACCTACACTTGATTCTAGTTGGAAGCTTGTGATTTACCTTAAGGCCCTCTACGTGGAACATTTTTCCATGTTTTTCACTCTGACCATGCACATTTTTTTTTCCCATTTCCCTCAAAGTCCCAAGCATATTTACTGATCAAAAATGTTTAGAAATGACATAAAAATGGGTTTGAAATGTATCTGTATCTTTGGGTATGAGCCTATTTTTTCTAAAATTGGACAACTTTACACCTTGACAACGCTACTTTCGGCAGACTAAAAGTAATCGAGTTTGGTATCGTTGGAAAGCTCGTTTCAAGTAGCATCAAAATAGCCCGATACCATTTTTCTACGAGACTAAACCTAGCTTGGATTGTACGAAGGAGATTCCCGCATTTGGCCTACATTCCACTGTTCACGTGAACAGCACATGATGCTGCGTGTGCTGATTCGCTGAGCAGCCGCGGAAGTCTGCGCTGATTCGCTAGGCCGTAGATACCTGGTGAACTTCCGGTAAAAACAACGCGAGCGTCATAACGCCTTGTTGAAAAACAAACGGAGGGTATTTTGATGTGACAAACGCACGTTTCAACCTTTGCTCGGAGAGATCGATGACCAGTATTTATTTTTGCTGTGTTTGAAGCGGTAAGCTGGCATCATGCCAGTTCGAAGGAAGCATGGGGCGACATTTGAAGAAAGCAAGAGCATCGAGGAGACAGGAACTGTGTGATACTGACAGTAGCAGTAGCGTGAGTAGTGGTAGTGACAGTAGCGTGCCTGATCTACCAGTTACTTCTAGCTCTGGGGCTAAAGTTTCTACTACTCCGACATCTGTAACAGATCTAGACAAGGCTCCCACCCCACCTAAACAACCACGGAAAAATGCGATTACAGCAGAGAAACGACTTAGTTATCTAAATCAAGTTACAGAAACTCAAGAAAGTGTGTGTGAAGGTCAGCATGAGGGGAACACCATCATTGAAATTCAGAATTTATGTGACCTTATTTCTGGCTTTCCATGCGCTGTGTGCAAAAACGACTCTTGTATCACTGCATCTGTGCGACAAAGGAAAGGTCTTGCCGTGCAGTTCAGTATGTATTGTTGTGTGTGTGTGAGGTGGTGGTACAGAAATGGTGGAGCTCCAGAAAGACATTTGCTCCAGGGACTAGTGACAACAGGCAACAATAACAGTAACTGCGACCATTTCCAAGTGAATAGAGACGCTGTGTTGGGTAGTGTGTCTTGTGGAATGGGTGCTGTCTCCTTCCAAAACCTATGTGAGCAGCTCAACATGTCTACCCTCCACCACGGCTCGTTTCAACAACCCGCTCGTGCTTATTATAGCCTTACACCGGAGTGGCGGAAACTTATATTCTTTAAATCTGCAGCTGTTGTCCGTACAGAGTACATGAAAAGTGACCTTTGTCCGAACAGGGTACATGAAAAATTACCTGTCCCTTCAAGTAGATCAAATTATCGACGTAGCTGTCTCGTACGACAGGTCATGGATGACCAGAGGCCATACTTTTTCAGTAGGCATTGGCGGTGTCATTGACATAATGACCGGCCTCGTTATTGATACCCATGTAATGAGCTCATTCTGCCATGCCTGCAGCTCCAGGAAGCAGCTTGCTGAAACTGCCCTTTGCTGGCAAAACACCTTGGTTCCGGAGAATGCAAAAGCAACTTCTTTGGTGAGTTTGTGTTTGTGTTTTATTGAGCAACGAACTATGAGAAATATCTCTTAGATTTGCGTCAGATTAATTAGTTAGTCTCAGAGATTTGAAAGCATAGTATTCTAAAGGACTACATAATCAAGGGTATTTGTAGCACTTTATTAATTACATTGTTGAAATCTGTCAAATAATAAACTTTACTACAGTATTTAAAACTTTTCCCCATAAAACAAATTGACGGCTGCATATTTCCTAGGCCTCCGTAAACTGTTTCATTATATTAAATGTATAAATTTATTGTATTTAAACTTTATATATATATATGTGATTTATTTGTTTTTTCCCAGGTTACCACAGACCCACATTTTATTGCCATGTCAAGCTTTTCACAAATGTCTTTTGCCTTGCAGGCACATCAGGAAACGGAGGTTCATGCCGGTCGAGTGCTCTGGATGCGGAGCGTGAAGCTGTACAACTTTCGCTACACAACAGTTTTATCAGATGGCGATACAAAGATGTTCTCTGAACTGTGTCGGCTCCAGCCCTACGGTTCAGATGTTAGCATTGATAAGGAGGAATGTGTGAACCACGTGAGTAAACACCTTGGCACCGGCCTTCGCAATGTTGTCAGCTATGCTGCAAAACAAAATTCACTCTTGGGGGTCGTGGTTACGGTCGCCTAACCGCAAACACGATAAAAAAGCTGCAGGTTTATTACACCAGAGCAATCCGCGGAAACAAAACACCAGCTGAAATGAAAAAGGCCACAATGGCTTCCATTTACCATGGGTTTTCAACGGACAATAATCCTCAACACCAATTCTGTCCGTCAAGCGCTAGATCCTAGTGCTTTTATAATTCAGCTCACGCTCAGCACAAACCACCTGGACCACACGCGAATCTTGTCAAAACTTTTGATGAGACCCGCCTAAAAAAGTATCTAATGCCTCTATGAGAGCGTCTCTCTAATGACCATCCACTCAAGAGGTGTGAAATGCATGGCACACAAAATGCGAACGAGTGTCTTCACTCTGTTGTCTGGGCTCGTTGCCGAAAGGACCATTTCGACTCCAAACCTCGAGTGAAGGCAAAGGACCCGACAAAGTAGATCTAGTAAAAAAGGTAAATATTTGTAAAAGTCATGACACTGCAGGTTGAAGAAGCAGAGTGGTGGACTATCCCTGAGTTCTAGCAGGGAGAAACACACAGAAGAGATGAGCGTCATACTATCATACTGAATCTAATTCAAATCAAAGTGCTTCAGGTATTTCCAGGTGTGTTATTTTTTCCTCTATCAACTACTTATCCTATTGTTTCTGTTTTTTCCCTTTTTTGTCCTAGTGACGTTCATCAACACATTCCTTGAGGGACAGACGGTTACGACCCTCTTCAGAAGATCAGGAGACTGCTGGAACTCATCATACCCAGATTCTCAGCGTGCTACTACCCCCACAAGGAGCTCAGCATTGATGAAAGTATGGCCCGCTTCAAGGGTAGGTGTCATTTTCGGCAGTACATGCCGGATAAGCCCACAAAGCGGGGTTTCAAGTGTTTCAACCTCTGAGATTCTACAAACTACTACAGTCTGGATCTGGTTATGTACACCGGCAAGGACCATTTCCCCGTTCCCCAAAGGTAAATCGTTTACCCAACATTTACTTGAGACTCTCATGAGGGACTACATGGACAGTGGGCATGTCTTCTATATGGACAATTTTTATTTGTCGCCATCGCTTTTTTTGAGTCTACAGGAGAGAGGAACAGGAGCTGTGGGAACGGTGATGGAGAACAGGAGGGGGTTTCCTGCCGATCTCAAGAAAACTGTCCTGCCACTAAAGAAAGGTGACGATCCTGTTTTCCACAGGTCAGGTGACATGGTCGCGGTGGCCTGGCATGACACCAAGCGTGTCTGTCTGCTCAGCACCGTGCACACCAACAACTGTTGACAAGAGAATTCGTTCTGCAAGGGAAGCCACAGGATTCAGGAGGGTAGAGAAGCCAGTTCTGGCTGATAACTATAACACTTTCATGGGTGGAGTTGATCATTTCGATCAGCTCCACAAAAATTATTCTTATCCCCACAGGAATTATAAGTGATACCTGGCCCTGTGGCACTACATCAAAGACGCTCGCTTGGTCAACGCACACATCTTACAACAGAGTGAAAGTTCGGTGAGTGTGAAAGACTTTAGGTGTGCAGTGGTTGACGCTCTCGTGAAGCCGTACATGGCAGTTCGGCGAAGGAAGTCGAGAGCTCAGCAAAATCCAACTGTCGACAGACTCTCCGCAGCAGCATTCGGCCATTTTCCTCTCAAGTATGCCGACCCGAAGCATCGCCCAGTATGTAAGGTGTGTGCCTCCATCAAGAAGTGGTCACAGACCCGGCACTACTGCCCACAGTGTAACACTGCTCTATGTGTGGACAGAGAGAGTTTCAAGATCTTTCATACTGCCGCTGACATAAAGCAGGCGCCGCAGCAGCTGGAGGTGTAATATTCTCTGTGCTGTGTGTGAATTATTCTCTGGATTATAAATGTCGCAGCGAGTTGGGTTTTTAAAATATTTTTTACATTATTCCCAAGCAGTCACATGTCACATGCATGATCAAGTCACAACAAACACCGCAGTCACCACACATCTAAACTTTTACAATGTCACAACATGACAATATTCTAATTCCATAATTCTTGCCCTGCGCCCTGATTCAAGGGTATTGTCTCTTTTGATTCCTATTTCCAATTTTCTAATTGTGCGTGTAATTTTATTGACTTTCATTTACTCATTACTGAGAAAAATGCTCTTTGCTGACACACCCTCTACCTCTGAAATGACCTCCGTTCTCGTCACTTTTGGTACTTTTTAACAATGCCTCTCGTCAACTACTAAATGTGTCTTTTCATCATTTTCTTTTTGTTTATTCTGAAAAGGGATATTCAAATGAACATTTTTGCAAAAAACTGTTGAATGGTTAGTGTATTTGAACATTATATTTTGAGTGTAAAACTATTTTTTTTTGCTATTTTTTTAGAAATAGCTAATTATTACTCAAAATGGCCGCCATGTTCATGAGATATAATAATTTTCTTAGCGTCATCTAAAAGTTTGTTCAATTTTCTAATTGTGTGTGTAATTTTATTGACTTTCATTTCCTCGTTACTGAGAAAAACGCTCTTTGCTGACACACCCTCTGGCTCTGAAATGACCTCCGTTTCGGTCACTCTGGTACCTTTTTACAATGCCTCTCGTCAACTGCCAAATGCGTCTTTTCATAATTTTTTCGGGATATTATTGGAGATGGATGGTCAAATCAACATTCTGGTGTATTATGTGTCTTATTTGGTGTGTTTGGGTCCTATGTAGATGGGTCGGAAGGCAATTTTTGGGGTATGTTTTGGTCAACTGCTTATTATCATTTTCAAAATGGCCGCCATTGTTATGTAACAAGATTTTTTTTTCGCAGTCCGATAGCTTGTTATCTTTTATGACCATCCTGAAAATTTCATGTCAGTACATGCTCTGGTTATAAAGAAATAAACATATTTCTGAGCTACCCTAATTTTCTTGTGATTCACCTCAATGGTATGTGGAGCCAAGGGTTTTTCACTGTTTCCATGTTATGGTAAAGTGTTAATGAAGTTCGACTTTATTTTCAGAGGCATGCACCTACATTTCTGAAAAGCTTCCACTGCAAGACAAAAGCCTTGCTCATGCCCAAGTCCTTGATGTGAAGACCAGGATGGAACAGTCCTACAACTCACTTGAACATTTTGTCAGGAAATTTCCATGCCTGATTGGAGCTGAAGAGAGAGACAATCTGGAGATAGAGTTTTCTAAGTATCAGACAGATAAGCTGAACCCATCAGTTTGCAAAACTGAAAGAGTGGATGTTGCCTGGCATCTGATCTCTCAACTCACTGGTGTTGATGGCCAGCCAAAGTACAAGATACTACCCACGGCCATGCTGGGACTATGTGTCATCCCACACAGCAATGCAGGATGTGAGAGAGTGTTCAGTTTGGTGAGGAAGGCCAAGACTGAATTCCGAGCCTCAATGTCTACAGAAATCTTCTCGTCCCTGATGGTCCAGAGAGTGAGAATGCCGTCAAGAGAGGAGGTGTGCTACAAGGCCAAATTCACAAAGGAGCAATTGAGCCGGGCAAAGAAGGCTTGCATGCTCTCTTTGAATTCAAAGGCTTAACCCTTGAATTATCGTTGTAAATAGTCCGTAAATAGAAGGTCAGCCTGGCTAGTGATTAGGTCGTGGGCCTACATGTACAGTGTAGATAGAGTATGTAAAGACGTATAGTGTGGATTGGACTATGTTACTTGTTGTGAATTTAAGGACGGTGTAAATATGTTGTTCTGGACTTGAGGATGGAAATAGATTTGGCAAGAAATCCTTGATATAAACAAATTACTGTCACCAGAGCCTGAATGCCCTAAATCCATTACATCAGTCATCTATTCTACCATTTTGTGATTTAAAAGTTGAGTTTAAAGAAAAACTTTGGCCATCACAGTTATTTAATTTTCGATAAGCCCTATTTTTGCGTAATTAAGACATATTTTTGTTCGTAATTTGAAAATGAGAGTACTTTAACTAATTTTTATGGGAAATTACTAATTTTCTTCAAGGTCATTACTAATAGCCATGGAGATCGGCTGGCAGCCCTGCTGTCTCCATTATTTCGAGACTCCCTTCACAACCAAGCTCTTATACCCCACTGTAACTGCACCAGTAACAGCGTACTTGGGAGTGAATAAGAGCGGACAGCCCCTCTCACCACCGCTCATGGAGAAATATTCCTCTGTTCCACTGCCAATGTCAGAGACACTGCACTGTCCAGAACAGGTTTCATCGGGACCGCAACAGTCAGCTGACGCTTTATATTCAGAGACGGCCATTGTCTCATCCTCCTCCACAACCACCTTGGTACAGCTGTGCGATGATTCAGAAGACTGCTTGCCGACTACAAATCCGCAGACCCGTCTCATTTCTCAGTCTTACTTTCATTCTCGTCCTTCTCTGCCTCTTCCTGTTCCTCATCCTCTTCCTCCTCATCCTCGGAGCAGCTATCCTCCGACTCGGACTCCCACTGCTGTATACACACGCGGTTCACGTTGATGCACAGATCACCCAGCTCCCTGTCCTCCCCATCCTCCTCACTCTCGTCCTCACTGGGGGGCAGGAGGTCCTCCGGGATCCATCCTTTCTGCGGGGCCGCCGATCTCTCTGAGAACTCCTCCGGCCTGGAACAACAAACCATCAGATGAGATGAGATGAGATGAGATAAGATAAGACGAGACAAGACAAGATGAGATCAGATAAGATGTTTTAGTTTTAGTTTAAGTAAGATTTTAGGGCGCTCGCAACTGCATAAAATCATATGAGCGGACTTTGTGCTGTTGAGGCTAGAGAGGTCGGCAGAGCAAGCCAGATTCCCCGTCTGTCGACATCCACCCCTAGGCGCAATGGCTGTTGCGAGAGCCGTAAAC